AAGGTTTGCTGTCAGCGTTAGAAGATCGCAGCAATGGTGCGTCGCTGTATAATAAGGTTTGCTGTCAGCGTTAGAAGATCGCAGCAATAATGCGTCGCTGTATAATAAGGTTTGCTGTTGCGTTAGAAGATGGCAGCAATGGTGCGTCGCTGAGCAACTAATACAGCTGTTGCGAACTCTTAGAAGCTACATCCTTTCGTCCAACTTCCAAGAATTATTATGCATCAACCCAATGTAGAATTCAACAGTACGTTGACTTAAAAAGGGAAGCACCTGAATGTTTTTTAAATGTGACTTCTGCCACATTTGATTTTACTTTGCGAAGTCGGATAGGCTACTTCACCGCGATGGTTGGTTGAACCTGTCTAGAAGGTTCAGTTTTCCACGGATTGGAACAGCAAGAAAGGAGATCAATTCCCCTCTCATCCTTCCCCATTGTCACACGGCAGTGACGCTCTATGCGCAGTCGTATTCTTATAAGCGCCGCTGGCACAACGATACGTAATTACCATGCGCGAAAATTTTGTTTCAGCTTTCCTTTTTGAACTAAGCTTGCATATGTCGTGTGTTCTTTTTATGTGACGTGGTAAGCAAGGTGAATAGTGATGCTCCTGATGAGCGATATTTAATGTTGAATTGACTTTTAGAAATGCAAACTGCTAGCACAATCTACGTCCATAAGATGTGCACAAGTGGGTGGATGCGCTATATGGCGCAATTATGGACAAGCTTTGCCATATATTCTCAGCCCCGGAGGCTTAGCTGAACTATGCTAAACATGAATCACGGTTTAATTAATGTGGCATAAGTGCAACTTCGGTTCTCGCCCTAGTCTGGTATCTACACGGGGTGATAACAATTACGTAGGCTGTAATGTGCACGTGTGTGCTCACTTCAAAGCTTCACCCCGATCCATCTACGCTAATTTTCCCAGTGGTTAACAGCATTCTCACAATTTGTGTCATTACGTCCTACATGATTCCTGGTTGGAAAACAGGATAAATCGCCCCCAAGCCCATATTTCTCTTGTTCACCACTAAACTAACGTCTGTAAAATTCCGCTTCAGATTCCTTGCTATTTTTCTTCGCCAAGTCGAGGTGTGGCCAGCAAGCCAGTCAGCAAATACCGTGGCTAATTCTCCCGTCGGCCACAATGGCTGTGGGCGGAGCCGGGGCCGGCGCGCTCGCTGATTGGTCGGCGGCTGGTGAGGCTCCGCCCACTGATGACGCTCGGCGCGCCGGCGGCCGGCGGCGGCCAGTTGCCGTGCTGCGCGGAGCGAGAGAGGGGCGCGTGCTGTGTGACCGAACGACCGGCGCCGCACCGCCGCGGCCGACCCGCGGCCTCGTCACGTGACCCGGCCACGGCGGCCTGACTTACTCTGACCTGAGGCGGCACGCCATCGGCGCCATGTCGGCCTACACCCAGTTCGGTTACCCCTACGTGACGGCTGCTTCGCAGGTGAGCCGGCTCGACACGCGTGCGGCGGGCTTCACGCGGCACTCGTGCCTGGCTAAGAGGCTCATCGTGTTCGCCGCTTATGCTGACAATATCGGCTTATAATCCGTATTAGCATCCCCTCCCTGCAAATAGAGTGCTTCATTACTTTTCGAGGATTGCCGCATCACACAAACATTGAAACTTAGACGAATCGAGCCGACGGAAGTGCCGGCCCACCCGGTCAACCGGCTGAAAAAGCATCGGCCAGACCGGACCAGATCGGCCAGCTAGCACGGTTTCCTTCGCTCGTACCGCAGTGTGACCACAGGCGCTTCCGTGATTGGCTGCAAATCATTCGAGTTTCAAGCGTGTGTACTCGCTAGCGGATCGGGCTTCTCGGCTGAGCCGCCGTCATAGGATTAATGAAGTGGCTCCTCATGGTTGCAACGCCTCCGGGAAATACCGTGCGGCGTCAATCCCTGCAAAGGATTAGCGCGTTTCCCTTTCAATATTTCTAGACAAAATGGAGGAAGGCACTCAAAATTCATTTCTGGGTATGGCGTGACGCGCAAAATTGGGTTGCTGCAAATGAACAACATTTCAGTTTGGGATACAGCGTTCCGCTCTTCGAACACAATAGCTGTAACAAACAAAACACTGATAATGTGAGAACACCGCAAAATCCAGGTTCAAGCCACTGTCTGTGCGATTGTTAAATGCGTTCGCCGTTCTCAGACCCAGCAATTATTTGTACAGTAGTACAGTTAATTAACCAGCATCGACGAGCTAAGGCGTTGCTATTTGTCAACGGCGCCTCACGTTCCGGATCTGACTATCACAGCAGCACCGGCACCAGCACCAGCACGTGAGGCAGCGCCTCACGGCTCGGCGCGAATACCGTCTGAGAGAACTTCCGGTGCCAACCACTGATCCCCAGAACACAGTGGTTGGCAACAGGCAGCGGAGATGTCTCCTCTAGCTCTAGAGAAATTCCCAGGCTCCACTGATTCACAAACCATAGGTCGTACACATGAATACAAATTGGTGTTAGTCGCACTGGTGTTAGTCGCACACGCGAATGCAGACTGGCGCTAGTCGCACACGTGAATGCAAACTGGCGCTAGTCGCACACGTGAATGCAAACTGGCGCTAGTCGCACACGTGAATGCAAACTGGCGCTAGCGATGTGCACAAACCAGCCAACATGTGCGAGTTCCACAGGCAGCCAGGCAAGCATAGTTGCCAAGTGTAGAACCCAGATCCGTACATACCAGCCCAAATAGACTACTTACTGGGAAATGCGAATAACACTACACTCCAGTTTCAGCTCTGAACCCAAAGAACGTAGGGGTGCCGGTAGTGTACGGTTAGCGCGTCTGCGTTAACCACTGCGCGTCTGGGAAACCAGAGGTACGGGGTTCGGCTCCCCGCGATGCCCGCCCTTCCTGCCAGGATGAGAGGCAGGCGACGCCTTATAGCCTCAGCAGCTGAGTGCGTCGTAGAAACCCAATGACACACAAACCCAACGAACGGACTATGCAAAACATAAAAATATTGTCAGGTATGAAAACAAGCATTTATATTTTTCGTAATCACCTCAGCAAAGGGCAATGCAGGATGGCGAATGTCATGATCTGAGAATGGTATCAAAGCTCACCCAGATGAGGACAAACAACAGGACGGAGCACCACCCACACCCTCAGCCACCACTGGCAAAGCGAGTTGGGACTCTGAGCGCTATCCAATATGTACCTGCATTCATAAACAGAGTATGTCTCATGGGCATCACGGGCATCAGAATGTATCAACAAATTAGCTGATGGCATCGATGACCATGGATGAGTTGACCCTTATTGAGAGGTTATGATTTACGGTCACACACCAGGCCCATCGCAACGAGGGAAATTGTAGGGGAGGCGTGTGTTAGGAACCCGAAACTATCAGCATGCTGCAGATAACCGGTTCTACCCCCGGTTTTACCCACCAATGTGAAAGGAAAACGTGAGCTCTTGAACTGCCACAGGGAACAAAGATAATTGTGGAAACTGAAGCATCAAAACAAAGCTGCGAACGATCACTAAAGCGTGTATTATCTTCCCATCAATTACGATGGCAATTGTGGCGCATTAGGTAATATGGAAGGCATTCACATCACGAATTATCTTTTCGATCATGTTTTGAGAAAATATGTTACTTTGGGACTGTTATTCAAGAGTCCTTTGGAATAAGAACGCATCAATTGAAGTCGAGAAGATACAATTACTTTAACGATGCATTCAAATAACATGATACAAGTTGTCCGATGCCGTTGGTGTCACTGGGAGACTTTGACCTCATGGATGCAAAGCAAAGGCCAGCACAACCCTGCCAGCTGATGCCGGTGTCGCTACTTTATTTATAGACATTCTAAGCATCGCGTGAGTAGGTGATCTAGTGTAGAAATGGCGCAAATTGTTACATGCCTTGATCAAGCGATTACTTCGAGCTCGAATGCCCCTGGAAATTGTCAACTTCGCATCGTTTCCCACCACGTGGGTGAAAAGTTTGGTACCAGACTGAGATCGTGAGTCAGAGCTTTTGCCGGGCCCAATGTTGAACTGAGGCTAAGTTACGAAGCTGAACGTGCCTCAGGGCTGTGGCCATATCGCCAAAGACGTCGGTGATACAGATGTTGTAATGGACAAGCTGTAAATGTCAGACTGTGTTATGCTTTTGATCGTGTCCAGGCATCGTTTCTGGCTCCAAAGCGCTGGAAGAACGATCAATATTGATGATGAAACTTTTACTTGCTTTGGGATGCATGCCATGCTTTTCACATTTCAGCGAGACCTCACATGGCTGACAGGATATCAAGTATACATGAATATTAGCATCCACGTTTTTACAATCGTTGTTCAAACATGTGGCTGGCTATTTTACAAACTAGAACATGTGGCACATTGTTGTGCGATCACAAACCGCTGACACGACACGTTACAACTGTGTCCGACTCACAACCTGGCTCGTATAGGCGCTGCTTAAAAATATGAGCTGTGGCCGCGATCAGAAAAAATTATAATAAACTTTCCAAAGCATTGCAATACCTGCCCAGCCGCTGTCGTCACACGTTGACTTCACGCATCACGTTAAGGTGACCGGACATCGCAAAGATAGGAACGGCTGGTCCTGACAGTTCGCCTACGGTGCCCCACACCCCATCCGCTCGCGTGCTTCCCATCCAGCAAGGCAACGGACCATTCACGACCGCAGTCATAGGCGTAGGCGGCGGATATCGGGTCAAGCTCCGACAAAACGTCATGTTGTGCTCGAAAACATGGCACCGATCGGCTGCAGCATAGCCGCGCCTTATCACGCGCCTACTTCAGCTTACAACTTCGTTTTTCATTAGGAATTGCATTCATTATTTACCTCGTCCTTGCAATCAAAACGACACAGGAAACCCGCCCGGCAGCGTTTGCATCGCCCTGCAATCCGCCAGCCGTGACCGCTGCAGTGGCGTTCCGGGGAACCGCACCGTATCTGCTTGCGGAAGCCGGGCTGCACGTTGTCACAACATTCCGCGTCAGATGCGATGCGAGCGCTTTGGCCTCATCCTGGGTGGACGGGCGAGCTGCGCACCGTGTCCGCGGGGACAACACCGGGCTGGCCGGACAACGGGCGAACAACGGCGGGGGGGGGGGGGCGGAGATGCGGTGCGTAGGCACGCTTGGAACAGAGGCCCGGACCGGAGCGCAGCAGGAAGCCCGCCTCCCAGCGGACCACCGCCAGGCGGGCGGCGCGAGGGGCGGGCGGGAGCCGCTGGTCACCGCTCGACCACCGGACCACCGCCAGGCGGGCGGCGCGAGGGGCGGGCGGGAGCCGCTGGCCACCGCTCGACCAGCGGACCACCGTCAGGCGGGCGGCGCGAGGGACGGGCGGGAGCCGCTTTGACCAGCGCTCTCCCACCCGACGTGCGCCCCTCGCTGGACGACGTCCGGCGCTGGCCCGTCGCCAGCTCAAGCGTAGCTTAGGTGGAGACGTTGTTCACAGCTGTAAAGAGCTTTCCACCCTCCGAGCCACGCACGCCTATCGCCGCATCCTTGCCTGGCTTCCGTTTGCATCCTCATCGCCATCTAAAGCTGGGTGGTCAGTATGATGACGTTGAGCTCATGGCAATGCAAGTTCATTTTGGTAAGTGCTTAACGCACCTGCTTCGTAGAAGTACAATACGGCAACCCTCCATTTGCGCAGTGTCCCTTTATCAACGTAGTGCGAGCCAATAAATGTCTGTACTGCATGCCAAATCAGTCTTCGGGTACAGTGACGAAGTGGGTGGCAGTTGCCAGTTGTAATGCAATCTGCGCATTGCATAATGTTCATTTGCAGCTGCTCGTCCGTCGTGCATCGATTAATACCGTGTGCAGCACAGGTAATAGGCATTTGTGTATTCAGTGGCCAGGGCAGTAACTCTGTGGTGCATTCCTTCGACTCGGATGGCTTACTCGTTTAGCTGCATGGGGCGAAGCTATCCCAGTGGTGTACCGGTGTGACATTTGGCGGGCTTGTTCGGGCATTTTGCGCGCGTCTTTGCCTTTTACCCTGCGTGGTTCCCCCAACCTTCCACGGCGCACTCCGGCGTCTGGTGACGACCAGATGTCTTTGGCGTGACCTCGATCTGACCCGACCAGATGACCCGTCTTGCCCTCGTTTAGGATGCTCAGTGCGCCGTTAGTTTACACGACCAGCGTGACATCAGCCGGACTGAAACGCATCAACACAGTAGACCAGTTGTCCCAGTGCATCACTATGACCTCAGTTGACCCACACGAGCCCTACCAACCTACATGCTCTAAGCTTACTCGTGTGACCTCCTCAGCTGATCTTTGTCACTTTATCTGGCACCGCGGCCTTGCGTGACCTCAGCCTTAGTTGACCTATTTAACATCAGATGACCTTTGTGACCTCTAGGGACCCAGTGTTGAAACATTCGGCCGCTTGGGAAGCAGACGTGCCAACATTTTTCATGCCATCGCCCCCCCCCCCCCCCCCCCCAGCTTGGGGCTCACTGCCTGCTGCCCCTAACCTTCCTCAAGATCGGCCAATCAGCATCGAACAGGGCGGCGGTCAACCCAGCATCTAGGCGCCTCGGGCTTGGCAAATAGACCGGGCAGGTCAAAGGTCGGCGTTTGGGATCAAACGGCGATAGATTGGCCGCCAACGAACTGCACGTGCCTCGGCGACCAGAGAGCAAGGATCTTGGTAGCATACAGTTATGTTTACCTCCTGAACACCTTCTTAGATCCATTTTGGAAAGCTACAGTGACTTCTGGACAACATCTGCTGACCTGAGCACTGCGACCTCTGGTGACCTGATTCCTGGGACCTCAACTGCCACCTGTGGCCCCAGCTGATTTCTGAGATCTCCTCTGACCTGCGTGGCATCACGTTACTCGTGCTCACGTGAGCCATGTGCCCCAAGCTAGCCTGAACCATGTGCCCCAGGTTAACCTGAATCATGTGCCCCAGTTTAACCTGAATCCGGTGCCACAAGCTAGCCTGAAACCTGTGCCCTAAGTTAACCTGAGCCATGTGCCCCAAGCTTACCTGAGCCATGTACCCCAAGCTAACATGAACCATGTGCCCCAAGTTAACCTGAATCATGTGCCCCAACCTAACATGAATCATGTGCTCAAAGCTAACCTAAATCATGTGCCCCACGTTAACTTGAACCCTGCGTCCCAAGCTAACACGAGCCATGCGCCCCAAACTTATATGAACCATGTGCCCCAAGTTAACCCGAATCATGTGTCACAAGGTAACCTAAACCATGTGCCCCAAGCTTACATGAACCATGTTCCCCAACCTAACCTAAACCATGTGCCCCAAGTTAGCCTGAACCCTGTGCTCCAAGCTGCCCTGTGCTCACCCGTGAGCCATACTGACCGGAGCGTGTCCTCCTCCGCCAGCTGCTGATGCCGGGCCAGCCGAGCACGCCGAGCACGGCCGGCACGTCGTGCTGCGAGACGGGCCGGGTGGTGGGCACCGACCCCGTGACCGGCCAGGCCGTCTGCTCGTGCCAGTACGACCCGAGCCGGCTGGCCGCGCTCAACTCCTACCCGCGCCTCAGCACCGGCTCGACGCTGCACTACAGCACCAGCTACCCCAGCGGCGAGCAGAACCCCTACCCCAGCATCGGCGTCGACTCCTCCTACTTCAGCACCTTCGTGAGTGCCGCTCTGTCCGGTGTGCCTGTCTCAGCACCTCGGGAGTACCGCTCTGTCCGGTTTGCCTACTTCAGCACCTCGTTAGTACTGTGTCCAGCTCCGTCCAGCGTTGCTTCTCAGCACCTTAATGGGTACCGCTCTGTCCGGTTTGCCTACTTCAGCGTCTCGTTAGTGCTGTGTCTGGGGTCCATCCATAATTCCTGTATGCATTACCACCTTTGTGACATGTTGTCCGCTGAGTGATGTCTTTTCGGCGTCTTCTTGAGCAACTGCTCCATCAAGGGCTCCTCACCTTACGAGTTTGGGATTTCTCCCCTCCCTTTGATGTCCCAGAATGGACTTACCACAGTCTTCGCCTCTTCTACACCAGAAGTAGTGAAGTGAAGTGAAGTGAAACTGCCTGCCTTCAGTTCAGAAGTCTGAAGGCAGGGAATGCATGCCAAAAAGGAGGTTTGCTCTCCTGCGTTGTGATTATCGAAAAGTAGAACGGCCGTACACTGTTGACAAAGTAGCAACCCGCCATCACTGGCCAGGACCCCACCCATTACGTGAACTGAGATGCCACCCCACTAATGGGCCTGCTCACCCTGAAGGCGTCGCAGTTCGGTGCATGTTTTGCCAGAGACGTTTTTACAGATAAATTGTTTCGGCACCCACCGTCAGCAAAACCTTGGAAGACCAGCCCATTAGGCGTTTTCTCCAGAAAATGACTGATAAAGTATGGGCGTAATGCTCTCTCGACAAATGCTCTCTCGACACCATGTTGTTCCGTACTATTTGCCCCTTTCGATTTCAAATCTCTGCCTTGCTGCACTTCACCATTCTCCGGTGAAGCCTAGCCCATTCTGCAGTCCATTTGGCTTTGTACCACGTCTATCTATCCATTCCTATCAGTCTTCCGACCTCCTTATCTTCTCTCCCTTCGTATCCGCCTTCCTCTGTCCGTGTGCTCCGGGTCCGTCCCTCAGTCTTCATCCTTTTCTTCCTTTTCTTTCCTTGCCTTCCTCATTCACTCTGTATCCTCTCCACGCTCTCTCTCTTCGGCCTCCTCCTCGACCACTCCCCCTTCCGGGTGGGTCCCCCGCTTACCCCCCCCCCCCCAGAAGAGCCCCGCCAGCCCCCCTCCGGGAGTGCCCCCGGCTGTTCGGGCGGGACCAGTCGCGGCTACTGCCCGGACAGCGGCGGCGGCGGCGGCGGCGGCGGCGGCAGACGCCCGTCTGCCCGCCGCCGCTCGTCCGTCAGGGGTGCTGCCGCCGCCGCCGCCGCCGCCGCCGCCGCCGTCGCCGCCGCCGCCTGAGCGCGGGGCTGGCGCCTCCCGTCAGTCGCGGCGGCGGCGGCGGCGGCGGCGGCGGCGTGGGCGGGAGTCGCGGGGAGCAGGATTAAGTTCCTGTCAGTCAGAATGGTCCCGGGCCCGGTTCTGGGGGGGGGGGGGGACAGGGTGGAGTAGACCTTTAGCTGGACACGCCCAGCCGGGGTGGAACCCTGCAATGATGGGATCGCGCAACGGATAGGTCCGGGGGTGTTTATTATCAGATGCTTGTTGTTTATTGGTCCCTGGCTGCCAGCCGGTGGTATTCATCAATAAGCATTATTAGGCATTAACAGGCATTATAGTCATGGGTTCAAGAAACCGCACACTGAACAAATAAACGAGCTATTAAGATATACACCAAGAACAACTCATTGCAAGATTAGAGCATTCGACGTCAGTGTCAAAATTTACGACCATGTAGACGTGACACACGTTTCAACTTGATCTTGAAATGAGGAAATACTGAGGCCGAGGACATTCTTCCTGGGTGAAAGTGTAAATAAACATTCACTTCCGCTGGAACCCTGATAACTTCCAGTTCGAACTCGATTAATTAGACTTCGCAGCACGGTAGATCGGTCGAGGCGCAGGACTAGGTAGGAAGGCCATGACATGGTCGTTTCTATACTGATGCAGTCCCTGCTGTGTGTTCTGGTGTCCAGGGGTCCCGAGGGGCTCACTGGAAGGATCCGTCGGTACCGGATCTGATAATAATTGCCGGGCCGAATGGATGAGCTGTCAGTGCGCTTCCTTGGCGCCGCGCACAACAGGGCTTTTCCATTAGCGGTGGCACCCGTCGGACAGTGCACACCTCCTTACCGTCCCGAGGGGCGCGCCCCACCTGTCCGGAGACGTGGCCTGTCACGTCCGCGTGGTCCAGTTATGTCGCCGCGTGTCCGTCACGTGGCGAGTTCGTTTGATCGGGAACACTGGATGTGGTGGCGGCGCGCTCTGCCGATCCGGGACTGGGGAATCCTGGGATCGTGTCTCAGTGGTCCGAGAGCATTGGCTCCCCGCATCGTCTCCCACTGTGTGGGAGCTTGCCTGCCTTAGGGCAAACCCGCGTGAACGGGAATATGAACTATCCTGGAGCATGCTCCGTCCTTCCATATCGCGGATTATTCTGGAGTGTGTCCCATTTGTACGGCAGCATGGTCGCTCGGCAGCCCCGTGCCAGCTGTCTGGGAAAAATGAGCTGGGCTGCGATGAGCGAGGGCTGTCCTAGTGGGGAGAGTTGTATGCTTCGGTCATTGGTCACCCCACGTCACTCTCCCAGGACACGCATCTTCAAAGGCACACGACGCACGTCGTCTATCACCATTTTATGAAACAGCAGCGACTGTAGAGGCCGTATCAGCGCTCAAGTGTCATGGCACAGCCAGGGTTCAGACCCGGCACACAGCAGGGCATATCTGCTCTGTTGTGTGTCCTTCTACCCCCCCCCCCCCCCCGCCGCCGCATGTAAGCCTAAGGCGCTCACCGTTTGGCCACCACGTGCCCATCGGTCGCCCCTTGGGTAAGTCCTATTTCCGAAAAAATGCTTGTCCTGTGAAATGTGCCAGTTTTTAGCTGGCATCGCCAGTCCCCAAAATGCTTAAAAATCGAACCCAATTCTCGGCTGCCTTTGCCGTGCTAGACACGGCCAGTCCCTAGAAGGTCCAAGAATTCGACTTCTCAGCCCTCACTGATCCCCAACAAGTACGACGAAGACGGCCCGCGCACTGAGCGTCGTCGCCGATCCGGTCAACACGCCGCAGCCGCCCACACGGTGGCGTCACCGGGACGCGCGCACCGCCGTCGACCCCGACTCCACACCCCCAGCCGCCAGCGGCAGCCGGCGGCTGGCGAGTCCGCCGAAGCTGGCGGAAGCAAATCTCCCCGGCTCGTGGCCGGGTGCCCCCTCCCCTCCCCCTCCGCTGTCCGCCCCTCGCTCGGAGGCGGAATGAATTATGGCCCTTCCCCGGCCGTAACTTGAAACACAAACAATTCTCTCCAACAGAGCCGCTTTTATTGCAGATAAGTGATTCCGTTTAGCCAGCTGGGACACAGTGCATAAAACTCCCTGTCAATCTGTCCGACTAAAATAAGGGCCGTTTAACTGAAGCAGTGAGAGTGGTTAAAGACAACGAAGATTACTTATTAATATTTACGATCGGATTCCGGCTTGGGCCCCAAATGGCGCTGTAACGACAGCATTAAGTCACTGCGCCATTGTGACGGAGAACGGGGAGCTATCCATCTGCCTGCGCACCCCGCCGACTCCAGTCACAAAATGTCACGAGCCGACCGCCATTCCATGAATCATTTGTCAAAACGCGGCGTGCCTAACCACGCTCGACGGTGAAGAATCGCGCAACGTCGGCCATTTGTCTCTGTTGCGCCAGGACTGCCGCCGGCGCCGCGCTGCGTCAACACGGCCCCCTCCGAACGTGCCCACCGTGACCCGGCCCCGTCGACGTGACCTGTAGGGCAGACGGGCGCGAAAAGCCAGGTGAATGCTATTTACGGTTGAAGCCAGGCTGTAAATTACTTGCAGCGGGCCCTGTCCGCGGTGGCGCAGGGAGATGGTTTAACGGCCCACCGCCTTGGCTGCCGCGCCGCGACTTGACGCCTGCTGACGCTCCCCGACTCCCCGCTGATCGCAGGGGAAGATGATTCATAACACATGATATTGGATGCGCGTGTTACTTCGTTCTCCTTTTGACAAGAGTGGACTGCGTTGACGCATCTGACGCTTTCCCATGTACGAACCTGATAGGCAATGAATGGCCGTTTCTTCCGTGAGATAGCAGTGGGTATGTGCATCTGTCCACTCTGTTTAACGATGACAGCTGTCCATTGCACAAAACGCGCACCGCTAAAACCGATGCTTTTAAGCCCGGGCTTATCGTATATCGGAGGTTTCTTATGGAAATGTCCTGCATAATGGCTTGTGTCTATAAGCATTATTTAGCCGTTAGTGTTTCGAGTGAGGCGGAATAAAAAATTCGTGATAAATGAATGCTGTCTGAACAACGTGCTTTATGGTTGGAATGTGGCTATGCCCACCCTTAGCCAATAATTTGCGTTATGCCCTCCTACACTGAGCGTTATGTGCAGGCTGTACAAAATTTGTCTACTAAAACGATTGAATTTTATCCCAACGTGGGTTTATCGTTATAACTACCTCAGGCAAATGGAACGCGTTCACGAGTAGTCCGCGCCGATTCGGGTGTGGTCCTGTAGAACCTGATCATCCTGGTCGACTATCGCACATGCTTCAATTCAAGATCTAAGCTATTTGCTTGTCGGCCACTTCAGCGCCGATCCCAGTAGATAAAGTGCCATTGTTGGCGCCATTCACGTGTTGGCGACAGGTACGCCCCTAAATGTTATTGCTTCCAGCGGTCGACCGGTAGCAGTTATACTAATGATAAGGTAGCATACGTCAATCCTGGATAACATCTGCACGGATAAGATGGCGGTCGATATGACATTTAAGGGAGGTGTCGCAACTGAACAGCGCCCCCCGGTAGCCGTCTGGTGAGCAGGGGCTGTTGCTGGCACTGTCACGGTAGCGGGTGCTTGCAGTCACGTGGTCGACACTTGTGCAGGTGATCAGCTCACCTCACCAGGCTGGCGACTGACCTCGGTCGCCCACTGGACCACAGCCCAGCCCACTCACTCAGCCCACATCAGCCTATATCAGCCACAGTCTGGACCGCACTCGGGTGCCGATCTCTGCTTCAACTAAGGCTGCACTGGGACGACTGACAATGAGCGCATTACCTACTGGTGGGATGGCGTTCTCGGCCTCAACTTAGACTGCACTGGGGCGACTGACAATGAGCGCATTATCTACTGGTCGGGTGGCGTTCTCGGCTTCAACTAAGACTGCACTGGGGCGACTGACAATGAACGCATTATCTACTGGTCGGATGACGTTCTCGGCTTCAACGAAGACTGCACTAGGGCGACTGACAATGAACGCATTATCTACTGGTCGGATGACGTTCTCGGCTTCAACTAAGACTGCACTGGGGCGACTGACAAGCGCATTATCTACTGGTCGGATGCGGATCTCGACTTCAACTAAAACTGCACTAGGGCGGCTGACAATGAGCGCATTATCTACTGATCGGATGACGTTCTCGACTTTAACTAAAGCTGCACAAGGACGACTGACAATGAACGCATTACCTACTGGTCGGATGGCGTTCTCGACTTCAACTTAAGATGTCACCAAGACCTATGCCAATGGAAACGGCCGTTTTCGGACACATCGCAATGGTTCTAAGCCATGAATAAGAATGTTCCTATTTCGTGAATTAGGCAAGCGATGTAATGGCTGCACGATGGCCACGCGCAAATTCATAGCCCACATTGTTGTACTGGAGTATGGATGGCGGCACAGTAGTGATTGCAAAGGTCAATCAAAGGCTATCCCGCCAAAAACGCGACGGACTGAGCTGTGCCGCGCCTAGCCGCTGTGAGCCTACACAAACTATGACTATCTGGCGTCAGGACACGTTCAGCCTGCGGCCCCACTCCGATTAGATAAAGTTGTACTCCGCGGCCCGGTGTGATTCCCAGCACCAAAAACATGTTGACCTATTTTATGTATTTATTTTGACGCAATGTTTTACATTTCGCTGACACCGCCAATTCAGCTCATATGTGGCGAAGATTAAAAGTACAGTTGTCGATGACTGAATTCGAATTTGCTGAGTTACCTCACTGTGTGCCATTTGTAAGCAACGAGTATCTTCAGATGATCGAAACAAGCTGTTCTTGCAGTTTTTCGTAGTCCCAACTCTTTGGCCCCGGAAAAAAACATTAAATCTCGCTAAGCGAGGTTAGCGCTCGTTTTGACAGATGGTCAGTGTGACCCCCGTTTACTTTTTCCGAGGGTGTCACTCAGAAACGCACTAAAAGATTTTATTATGTGACATTTATTGCGCGTATTTTGACACAGGCGCCGTGCCTTCAGCGTTTCCTGTTTTTGAGCAGTGACTGTTTTTAGGAATGCCGCACGGGCGCGGGCGCCGGCCGGCAGCCGACAGGTCCGCCGACCGCGCGAGGCGGGCCGACACTGTCACACTAATACTGCCCCACATGTCAAGGCACATAAAAATGCATCGCAATGTGCACAGAATTCAGCGAGGAAAACGCATGTGGAAGTGGCATGTCGCTGCGTGGCTCTGAGGCGTAAGTATGAGCATAGCAATCTGAAAAGTGTGGTTTTCGAAAAAATGACGTTTTGTCTTTGCAATATAGGATCAGTTGTTGACTTAAAGACGTACGATGTATTACCAATCGAACGACCTCGTTGAGACCAGTCCACTGATCTTTTTTCCGTGAGGCTCTGTTGTTCTTAGTTTGGAAGCGGCACGGGAGGCCGGTCGCATCGACCCCTCCTCCTAACAGCTCACGTTATGGAAAGGGGCGAATCGGGGCGAGGGTTAAGGGAATTATGGTGAAGCGTGAAGAGGCGTTACTGCAGCGACGCGTGCCGCGTCTCTGCTCCCTCTCGCATTATGCCACATCCACCTGCCCCTGATGTGTGCTTATATGAGCTCCAGTTCTGACGTCCCCCCTTTCTCTGTCCCCCCCCCCTGATGTGCGCAACTCTGTCTCCAGTCTGATGCGTGCAACAACATGTGCTCAATCCCGTACATGGGCGACCGATCTGTGGCAACCACATCATGAGCCACAGGCCCGTTCCATCCCAGGAGTGCGCCACTTCTCCGCTAGGAGACGTGCGCCATTTGTGTTGCATAATAACTTCTCTGCCCTCCCCCTTCCCCTCCACCAACATGCCGTGTGTCACGTTTCCGCTCTGCCCGTGACGTGCGCCACGCCTGTCGTCCATCCGTGACATGCGTCATGTCTGTCGTCCACCCGTGACGTGCGCCACGTCTGTCGTCCACCCGTGACGTGCGCCACGTCTGTCGTCCATCCGTAACGTGTGCCACTATGGTCCACCCATGACGTGCGCCACGTCTGTGGTCCACCCGCGACGTGCGCCACGTCTGTCGTCCACCCGTGACGTGCGCCACGTCTGTCGTCCATCCGTAACGTGTGCCACTATGGTCCACCCATGACGTGCGCCACGTCTGTGGTCCACCCATGACGTGCGCCACGTCTGTCGTCCATCCGTGACATGTGCCACGTCTGTGGTCCACCCATGATGTGCGCCACGTCTGTCGTCCACCCATGACGTGTGCCACGTGTGTGGCCCATCCGTAACGTGTGCCACGTCTATGGTCCACCCATGACGTGCGCCACGCCTGTCGTCCACCCATGAAGTGTGGCACGTCTGTGGTCCACCCGTAACGAGCGCCACATCCGCTCTTTCTATTACGTGAGGCCACTGCTCTTCTCTGTGACATGCGCCACTTGTCGATTCCGCCCGCGCCATCGCTTCTGGTTTCATCCGTGACATCCGCGACTTATCCGGTCCATCTGTGACATGAGCCCCTTCTTCGCTTCTTTTTGTGACGTGCGCCACTTTCCTCCTAAAACGGTGACGTGCGCCACCTCTCAGCTCCACCCTTGACGTGCGCCACTTCTCTGCCCCATCCGTGACGCGTGCCGTCGCTCTGTCCCGCAGGGCACGCCGTACGGCCTGAAGGAGTCGAGCGGAGCAGACATGGGCGTCTATGGCGGCCTGGGGGCACGGCCGGCTACGGCTACAGCCCCTACGACCCCTCGCTGTACGGGTGAGCACGCCAGGACGGCACGTGCGCGGTACGGTGGTGCCGCTGGAACGCCCTCAATGAGCGTGCGCTATGCGGACGAGGGCCTCGGTTTAACGTGTTTTTCACCACGTACCTCGCAATTGCGACATAGCCAAGTGCACCGACAAATCGTCAACACGGCTCAACACGGAGTTCCGGCCACATAACAGACACAACGACTCAACCCCGGGGGCCATTTTAGGACAGTGTGGTGGTATGTTTGGGGCGGATTGGACCCCGTGCGGGGACAGCGTCTGTGAGGTGGACCACGATAATTACGAGCACTGACCTGCAGCGGCAGAAGCTGGCTGCCTTCCTGGGCGACACTAATTGCAATCACTTATTCACTAATGGTTTTACGGCAGCACAATTAGCACACTTTTGCGGAGTGCACGAAGCCTGTGAATTATTCACAGCGGCTCAGTTCGATACGGGTGCTTGAAGCGGTCGAGCGCCGCTCTTCCTCGAGCCGCCTGACCTGGCCGTGTGCCGACGCCCGCACGACTGCATGAGCGACGCTCTAAACCGGCCCCTGGCCATCTCGGCTAATTCCGCCGATTGCACATCAAGCGTTTATTGGCGTATATTAGACCACTGTGCACCACTGCAGCGCCTCCGCCCATTCCGTGCTCCCCGCTCTCGTGGCACGAGCACATGACGGCTTCTCCCGCTGTGCAGGCGTGTGGGGGAGGGTGCACGACCCACGGGAGTCCAGGGAGGGTGGTGCTGGCCGCCATAGCGGCGCGCCGCCACCGCGCGAGCGCAGTAAATCTAATTTAGTACGTCATCAAGCCAAGCCCAAGCCACGGCCATTGCAACAATGACAAATTTACATTGCAAATGAGGCCGTGGCACGAACCTGGCTGGGGCGCCAGGCAAATGCTGAAGCAACGGGGCTGACTGAGCGGGGAATCTGACCCGGCGCAAAGGGGAGAGGGGGGGGGGGGCGGGGGAGCTGGGGCTGGGGCTGGGGCCCAGCCACACGGTCTTTGTCAGCTTTGGGTGTTGTTTCTTGCTGGCTGTTTCAGTTAATGCTAGAGACAAATTGGCGGGCATTACCCACGTGTCCGAGAACAGCATGTGCTGCTACTGAGGCTGCAGCAAAACGACGTAAGTCAGGCACGGACCTGGCCACCGCTGTCGTCTGCGGCTGTAAGTCAGCAGGCACGGGCCTTGTGGCCCTGCTTTAGGTCCCACCCACCCCGTCCACCGTGGCTCGCAGTGCGCCGTTTCCAAAGCTAGTTAGTGATGCTGTAGTTTTTGCTTATTTTAGCTTATCTCGGCTTTGATCGGGCCCCGTTCAGGGACGTTGCATGTTTGTGAAAAGGCTGCATTTGACAAACAGGCAGTGTTTTCGTTCTCTACTTGTGGATCAGAATGGTGTCGCCCTGTGAATGTGACGTCCTTTAAGGTTCCAATTATTATCCTATTAATTCTGATAAGTGCATGAGGTAGACTGGTTATTCACTTCTTTTTTCCAGTTGCTTGCTTCTTTCTTGTTTGAGAACGGCTCTCAAACTATTCGATCATTTCCATCCGTCTCTTTCTTGCTGCTTTTAACATCAACTATCCAATAAACCCTTTTCGTCTCTGTCTTCACCTTATCTTTCCACTCTCTTATTGCTCTCTTTCTTATGTCTCCCACTTTCCCGATCTCCATCTGTTCTCTCTTTCTCCCTTTCTCTTCGTTGCTCCATTTCTCTGTTCCTCCTTCCATCCCTATCGTGCAGAGAGAGAGAGAGAGAGAGAGAGAGAGAGAGAGAGAGAGAGAGAGAGAGAGAGAGAGAGAGAGAGAGAGAGAGAGAGAGAGAGAGAGGGAATCGAGGGGGAGAGAGAGAGCCAGGAAGCCTCCATCATCCACTCTCCTTTCTCTCCTTCTCTCTCCCCTTTTCTCCTCCCCTCTCTCCCGCTCTCTCTTTCTCTCTCTCTCTCTTTGTCTCTATCCTATCTCCCTTCCTCTCTAACTTCCCCCCCACCCCTCTCCCCACACCTCTCGGAGAGGGTGAGAGTCCCCTCTCACCCTCTCCGACATCTGCCGAGAAACCCCTCTCACCCTCTCCGACATCTGCCGGGCCGCGCGGGCCCGTTGACGTTAATTAATTCCCGACGCGTCGGCCGCGACTGGCCGACGCCGAGGCGCTAATGAACCGGCGCCGGCGCCGACGCCGGCACCGGCGCGCGTGGGCATGCTCGGCAAGTGTTCGACGTCGAGCGACGACGCTCAGGTGAACTTACGACCCCGGGTGGCAGCCGCATCTGTGCCGCATTATCGGCGGCAGACGGGGCGTCGGCGCCGACCCCGCGCGAGCAATATCAGGGGTGGAGCCGACATCGAATCTGTGGGGTTCTGTTGCAAATTATACGCCAATGAACCGATAACCAGGCTTAGAGAGGAGGAAGCTCGTTTTTTACTACCTTTGGGAAGATGCTGTGGACAGCCGCCCAGCGTCAGTCAGTGACCATTGTCATACGGTTTAGTGATGGGAGAGACTGGACCTGTGTCGCGTGATACAGTGCATGTGACTGTGCGTTTACTGGTTGGATACTAGCTTGTTCTCTTGAGTTCGCCTTGAAGAGCTTACTGACGCTTCCATGAAGGTGTGGAGTCAGATACCTGCCGTCTGATAACGCGACATTCCTGCATTTATCCTTGAAAGGCCTATGACAACCGCCATGACTCCGGGCCGTTACGTGCCCATTTAACCAGTTAATTACTCGCCTCTGAGCGGCCGGCACGCGACACAACACCGCTAAGCCCTAGCCTGTCGTCCAGCGGGCGCCGTCTGTTCCACTCGCCCGGAGTCGACCCCGCCGCCGACCGGCCCGTCCGCCTGATTTGCTGCCATTCATCTTCACCTGCCCGTGAGGAGTCGGCCATGCCTTCGGCGGCGCCAGCATCGATTCACACGGGGCGGTGACGGCCGGCCGGCCCGCCGGAAGGGCCGCGGCGGGCGGCGTTTTTGTGGATGGCGGCGCCCGAGCGGCCGCCGTCGCCGCTTCGTAATCCACTCAGAGGCGCCGGCCGGCGGCGGCGGCGGCGCTCGCGCAGACCGGCGTAATCTGCGCCGGCGCCTCTCGGTTAATAAGTTGATTATGGACGGCCGCGGAGCTGCTGGGCGCTTCCGGCAGGTGCCGATGGGGCTGTCGCCACAAGGAAGCCGGGCGAACGCTGGAGCAGGGGCACGCCATACTGTTTCGAAATATGTCAATGTGAAAAATATCAAATGTTGTCTCCTTTTGCAAAATGAGCGCAGAACAAGTAGCAAGCGTCGTATCGTACGCGTATGAAGAATCCAATAAGCCCCAACTGAAGGCAAAAATTGTACTACTTTTTCATGAAATATTCGTTCGAACGAAGCTTCTTTCGTTCGGGCAGCTTTGCTACTCTAACCTATCTTACCTTCAATCGCTCGGGAGGTACGCTGTGTTCATGCTTTAAGCTGAGTGCGCACCACTCAACTATTATTTTCTAGCTGTCATTCGAAGCCAGGCCGCCCTGGAAGCGTGGCACGTCAAGAGAGCCATTTCCATTGACCACCGCTGGAAACAATGACAGCCAAACGACGGCGGACGGTGCGGGCCGAGCACGTCAAACATTCCGGTTATGCCGACCAATGCATCTAACGTTGCAATCACTGCGCTCTAAGCCACCAGCAGCGGAACTTTGAAGAAGGTATTACAGGGTCCATCCATCAACTCCAGCCGATCGTGCGGTGTTTACGGCATCGCCTTGAGCCCTGCAGCCGACCAGGGCAGGCCGATCGGGCACGCCCCCGACCAGAGCTTGTCTGTGTTGGCCGCCGCTGCAGCAGTGCGTGACGTAGGGTTTGGTTACCGAACGCCGCCGAGAAGCCCCGCCGGCCGCTGTGTATCCAATTTGTCGGCCGCGGCGTGGCAGACATTGCATTACGGCTTCTGCGCCACGCAACTCTCGGTCGCGGCGTCTGCCACAACAGCTGGAGGGTGTCGGACATGCGTTAGCTCGGAGGTGAAGATTTTGTGACGGACCCGCCCTAGCCTGAGCTGGGTAACGCTGGTTTACTTTAAGCAATGGAGACCTGTTAAGAAGGTTCGCAAATAACTGAAAGCCTGGTTAATTTACACACACACAATATATATATATATATATATATATATATATATATATATATATATATATATATATACAAGAGACCAGGCGTGCTCACCATAGCCCACCTCACTCTCCCCTTATGCCAAACTTTTCCACTGGTATTTCTCGAGGAGTTCCTGTCACCATCCATGTCCCAAATGGAAAGAGATGCGAGTATCTGGCTGGCCAATGCGTTGGAGTAAACCTGTCTCAGTCAAGAAAAGCTAAAATTGTGCCTTTTTGAGGAAAGTTTGCGTGGTCACTGCCCCGCATGTCATGCTGCATTTTTCGTCCGGCTCGCGCCATGCTCCCTCGTCCCCATCCCCCTCACATCTGCTTCCACACCGTCCAGGTCTCCATGCCTCACAAGCAACCTCCTCCCATCTTACCCCTCCGCCGCACCATGGACAACCACAGATACCCACTGATTTCCAAGCTCTGCGCTGTCCTGTTCCCCCCCCCCCGCCCCTTCCCCACTGCCCCTCCCTCCTGGTCGTCAGCTGTGAAGCCCTGCCCCGTTGCGCCCGACTGCCCCGCTCCGCTCGCTGCACGGTCAGCCCCAGGGCAAACAGCTATGGCGGCCGGGCCGGCCGGCGTTTTGTTCCGTCCGTCCGCAATGGCTGTTGAGCTATGTCGGCCAAATGGGACGTAATTGTGGTGCGGCACGCCAATGATCGCCGGACATGAAGCCGGCCCGAGGGCGGAGATGGAGAACTGCAGGGACTGCAGGGATGGGGACTGGGGACTGGGGACTGGGGACTAGGGACTAGGGACTGAGGACTGGGAGACTGGGGACTGGGAGACTGGGGACTGAAAGCTGGCGTTTGGGCAATGGGGGCTAAAGGCTGGATGATGGGACTGAGCGGCAGACTGAGGGGGCTCGGACTGAGGAAGGAGGGACCCGTGATGAGCGCGTCATGGATTGCAGGATTGCAAAGGCGGAGCGACCGGCAGACGGCCTGGTGCCCAATCGGCTGAATGATGAAGAAAACAGCCAACTGATGCTAATCTAATAAGCAGGGAACAGATGCACTCATCTCGCAAATAACCGAAACCCAAGAAGTCCGGAAAACAGCAGCGAACAAGTTGACATTTCCAAAACAAGACAACTGCTAATTGAACACAGCAGCAGCTCATGAAACGGCCAGCGGCGCTCCATCCAGAGCTCGATTGCCTGCCAGACGGCTGCCGACATTGCCAGCTCGCCGGCCACCGACCGTGCTGGCAGCGGTCGTGCCGGCCGCTGCTAACGTGCCAGCACGCTTAACGGCTCCTAATTACCTCAAAACTACACCGTCCGCTCTTTACGGCCGGTTTTATTGCAGTGTGATCACCGCACGTGAAGTGTTTGGCGCAGCCCCGACAAATTAGTATTACATTTATTACATAAAGTTGTTTGGCACATGGGGAGGCGGCGCGACCGACGCTGCATGCTGGCAGACATGCGGCGCCGGTCGTCACGCAGGGACGCATCAGTCGGCGGCAGGGTCGGCACGGCCGGTCATCGAGCGCCGATGCCGACGCTGCGTCGCCGCCGACGGAGCGACGGTCGATCTGCGATGGCGCGTCTTGATGGCGATGACCGTCATTGACGCGCTCGTGGTGCAGTTGACGGGCGAATAAATGTCATGGGCTGGTGGAGCGCGTGCTGATAATGTTGAGAGGTGCTTGAGGAGGCTTAGTGGTGAGCGAAATTCTCAGCGCCGCGACGGCCTGCTGGTGGTTGAAATGCAAACGGCATGCTTGCGGTCGCCTTATGCACGGCGTTTCCGGACAGGACGCTTCCTTTGCGGCGATTCCTGAAGCGATTTATTGATGGCATTACTTGCAAATGGTCGCAGGTAATGCGAGATACAAAAGCAATAATGTGCTGCCATTTTGTTTAAGCCTCGTTGACTGCAGACGGCCCTGCGAAACATGCTGGCTCGAATGCTGAACTGTGAGGGAGAATGCCCGGAGTTAAGTTTTCTGTGAAGAGCGAAGATGCTAAAGGCAGATAAAATCCCCGAGACGTGACAGTAGATCCCGCGCATCCGTCCTGTTCTCTTGTTTAGCGGTTTACAGTGGCTCGCTGAACCAAATGCGATAAGCTAACTCCATATCTACGACGTCAAGTACACTGCCAGCTGCCCTTCTAGACGAGAACCTCGCCAGCGTCCTGACTTCCACGCAACTGGCACCACACATGTCTGAGATCCGCCGGCCGGCGCCGGGCGGTCGTCAGCAGGCGTCGGCTCAGCGGCCGGCCGGGCGCCCTCTCAGCGCCGCCGCCTCTTCAGCCGACCCCGGTCCGGCCGTGTCCAGCGTCGTCCGTCCGCTCCAGCCAGTTTTTACCCCGCCCCTGAGTGGACTGGACGGATCGCTTTTTCGCCGGTCGCCCCCGCCAGCCAGGCGCCAACCGTCAGCCTAATAGAACTAATAAAATCCAACTTATGTCCACGGGAATGATATAACTGTCGACTTCTTGTGTGCCGAGGATGAGCATGATTGACGAGAGCGCGGTGGGAAGGAACCGGGCCATTCAATGCGGGTTCAACCTTGCCACCGTTACGACCTGGTCCGGCTCTGAACGCTGGGATCTCTTCGGCACAACGCCATCCCTCCTGGTCGAAATGATAAGTCGAGGGCCAGTGACTTCTTTTTTAAGCAGACTTCGTGGAGATCTCATACGTGTCCTTTCTCTTCCCATTGCCGATGGGGCTCCATTTCGCGACTTGGCTTTTTTGCAACTATCCGCATGAATTTCCTTTCAAATTTCTGCCACATGTCCTCCGCACTGACTGCCAACTTGCAAAACAGGACGGACGACTGTATCGACGTCGACGCATAGTTTACCACAAAGATCCACTCCTTTCTAATGGACCCCGTGCGCTCTTACAGCGAAGTGGACTATCAGTCCCCGCGACAGTGATGGATGTTCGACTCCGCCACCACCCCCGTCTATGGAACTCGGTTCACGGCCGGGGCACAGCTGATTGACAGAATCGCCGAACGGCTTCCGGGGCACAGCGCACGAGGGCGTCACTTCGTCCTGCAACCGATATGAGTTCATGTACCGGCCGTGGCCGAGGTGCACGGACGCTTATCGTCTCGAGCGGCCATCTGTAACTGTCTGAATGACAAAGCGTGGGGCTTATTTATAGACGCAATGAGGGCCCGCGCGAAGGAAAAGCGTGCTGGGCCTAAAAGTGGTTGAGATGAGCTAGATCCTGGAGGAGATCGGTCGTGGATGGACGTCGGGAAGCGGCAGTTGACCGGCGGCAACTGTGGGGCGGATGATGTTTGTCCGTTATTAAGCACAGCCGGGTGATTGCGTCGTTTGCCTTCTGCGGCATGAAGATGGTCATGCTTGATCTCCCGCCTCCATGCGGACTGTGCTCCTCCAGAAAGTACACCGCTTGAAGAGGCTGGGCGGTTAGACATGCTGTGGATGAAATGTCCGACCGATATCCGGCAGAGGCCCCCAAATAGTGGTCCGCCGACCAGCGACTAGGCAGCAGTGATGAAGCACTCAGCTGTCGGCCAGCGGCGGCAGCCAGCCGGAAGTCTTTTAGCGCAGTGAGCAAGCCAGAAAACCTCTACCCAGCTAGAGTTCCGGCAGCGGGTGACCAGCTAACCGACGGCCAACCCAGCCGCTAGCCAACCAGCAACGGCCGACTCAGCGGCGAGCTCGCTAGCGGGCCAGGCCAACCAGCCAACAGCTGTCAGCCAGCGTGGTCAGCCGGGCGGCGGCCAGCCAGCGCCGGTCAGCGCGGGAGGCCTGCCGAGCCACCAGCCGAGTGACAGCACCCAGCTGAGGCGACGGGAGCGCCGCTGCCTCCCGGCCTCCCGGCCTCCCGCCCGGGGTTGGCGGCCGGGCCGGCCGTCACAGTTCCTCCCGTCTGATTAACGCCAGCTCGTCGCCGGCCGGCACGGTGTATTAGCTCCCGCGATGGATCGCCGTGCAGGGATGGCCCCGCTTCATTAGAGGCGACTCAGATCGCCAGGACCCGCGCTCGGGACAGCTCGGGAGGGTCACGGCCACCGGCGTCGCCTCCGGTTGGGGAAACTTGGGTCACGGCGTCTCACGCGGCTTCACGCCAGAGGGGGAGCGCAAGTCGGGCGGATCTGCAAGACGTGAGCAGCATCTAAGGTCTGAAAGGTGTCGGGATAAGAATGGTATGCAGCAGTGCGGCAGAAACTAGGCTCATAACATGGATCATCGACATTCTAAAGTGAGTTGTGAGCATTCGAATGCATTCCTGAGTACTGCATTTGGAACAAACGGGCCCCGGCTGCTTCTCCTCGGATGCCAACTTCTAACGCACCCCGAATCCATTTCCGGCGGGCTGAAATCCGGTCTGGTCCCATCCTCACTGGACCGGGCCCGGCTAGGTCGGATTCTTGCCTTGCCCCGGACCCGCCGGGCTCCCGCCTGCATGACCTTAATCGTGCGGACTTCTGACTGTCCGCCACTGCTTGGGTCGGATTCCCGTTCTGGCCCGGCTGGGACTCGCCGGACAACCCTGCCCAGCCCGGGCATCCCGCCTGCCCGAACCTCCCCCGTCCGGACTCCGGACTCTCCGCCGTCCAGTGTCCCGGGCCGGATTCCTGGCCGGATTCGGACATGACGCACACCAGAGCTGCGCCAGCCGGTAGAGCTCGGATTTACGGCCCATAATTGAGCCTGATCTCGCGCGATATGTCGGCCCCGGCTGGCGCGTGCATAAACCAAGCAGCGGGACCTCCGTCGGCCAGATAAGCCGGCGGTGACGAACGGTCTGAGAGGGTGGGCAGCAGGCGTGCGCTGACTTACACACCCCACCGGGCTTCAGTCAGAGGGCAGGACTGGGGTGGCTGGGAGGGGTGGGCAGCAGGCGTGCGCTGAATCTACACCCCACGGGCTTCAGTCAGAGGGCTGGACTGGGTGGCTGAGAGGGGTGGGCAGCAGGCGCATGCTGGTCCACAACCCACCGGGATTCAGTCAGAGAGCTGCCACTGGGTGGCTGGAAAGGGTGGGCAGCAGGTGTGTGCTGATCTACACCCCACCGGGCTTCAGCCAGAGGGCTGGACTGGGTGACTGGACGGGCCGGGTGGTGAACGTTTGCCGAATTACGCTCAAACAGGCTTCATTCATGTCAATTGAGAAAAAAGAAAAGCCCACCCAATAGAGTTTCATAAGCAATCAGCCTGACACGGCAGCAGGCAATGCACAACATGGTGTGTGATGCACACGATGATGAAGCTGACTGCTAAAAGACATTTAACTGTTTTGCGGCAGACGCAATTGCAAGACGCTAATTACTGATTAGCATACAAATGTATCTCGTCAACTGCAGCCAATTCAGCCTCGTCGTCCCGCCTGCAGTCACGAGAGGAACGTTGTAGGGCTGTGCAGTGTTATTCTCAGGGAATCAACGTCTGAATCGCGTTTTCATTAGCTCACTTCACATCGTGAGAAGGGGCATATGTTAGGTAGATACGGTCCCGTCTTGATCGCCGATGTTGTATGACCTGTTCACATTAAGGCGCCCTCACGAAACACCTCACTAGTCGTCCTCCCTGCCGCAGGTACGGGTGCGCCCTACGATCTGGCGGCGAGAAGAAGAAAAGCCACTCGCGAGTCCACGGGGCACGCTGAAGGCGTGGCTGAACGAGCACAAGAAGAACCCGTATCCGACCAAGGGCGAGAAGATCATGCTGGCCATCATCACCAAGATGACGCTGACGCAGGTCTCCACGTGGTTCGCCACGCCCGGCGAAGACTGAAGAAGGAGAACAAGATGGACCTGGGAGGCCGAAGAACAAGACGGAGTCGGACGAGGAGGCAGACGACAATGCCGCGGAGAAGGACAAGACGGACAAGGACGAAACGGACGGGTGAAAAAGGTCAGACCATGACAGGTTCGGTCATCTAATTGATGGCCGAACCTGCCGGAATCTGTCATGGACCGGCCTTTGTTCCCAATGAGACGGGCATGAGATCCGCAGCGCCAAGCTTGATGCTGCCTTCCTCGCATTCGCCAGCCGCCTCACATTGGGCCGTGGTTTGCATGACTTTCGTGAAGGCGCTGTAAAATGCTTGGTTCTTGCGGTGCGCTAACTTTGCATTTCATTCTCTTCTGTTGGATTTTTCAATGAATCGTTGATCAATTATCTATCAATTTAGTTTATTCATTTGATGTTCATGCGCTCGATGTTTTGCATCCCCAAATGTGTTTCGGCTTTAAGAGTATCATAACAACTTTGACATCATTGCTATGTTTTCGATCCCCTCAGAAAAAGGCACGCTGTATTATTCCAAGTAGCCCAAAACGTATCAGACTATAAGAAACCCACCGTTTTTGGTAACTAATAGAGCGCGCAGTCCACACACACATAAAATTCGCAATAGCTTGCAGCTAGTTGCTCAAACTGTAACTTATCTAATCGCGTAACTGATCGGGATATTCATGTCGCATCGTCACCATTCCAGAGTCACCGCTGAGCAACGCCGCGAGCGAAGCTTGTCGCGCTGGCCCGGGCCGAGGGTCAAGTCGGGAGACGCTCTCGCCGGGCGGCGACTGGAAGGACAAGCCGCTCGACGACTGCAGCGACCCGCAGAAGCCCAAGATCTGGTCGCTGGCCGATACGGCCGTCTGCAAGACGCCGCCGCCGCCGCCGGGCCACGGCTGGCCGGCCGAGCGGCTGCCGGCACACACCGCAGCCACCACCTTTCCCGCTGCCGCCACCCATCGCGCCCGGCGCCGCGCCCTTCTCCCGCTACTCGCCACCAGGCGCAGGCGCAGGCGCAGGCGCAGGCGTCGCCGGTCGCCGCCGCCTCGGCCGCCTACCACCACAGCTCAGGCAGCGGCGGCGGCGGAGGCGGAGGAGGCTACGCCAGCGCGGCGGCCGGCGGCGGCGGCTACGGCGGCATGGTAGCGCCGCCGCCGCCCAGCCTGCCGGCCGCCGGCGGCTCGTACAGCGACGCGCCCGACCGACACCCCGCCGCAGACGCCGCCCAGCCTCAAGCTTGGCCAGATGAGCTCGCTGAGCAAGCTGGCGCACCTCAACAGCGGCGCCATGGGCTACGGCGGTCCCTACCCGGGCTCGTCGCTGGGCTCGACCCGTCCGTCGACGCTGGAGCGGCGCCCGGACGTGTACCAGACGCAGCTGTCGGCCCAGCAGCAGCACCACCTCCAGCAGCACCAGCAGCAGCAGCAGCACGTGCAGCAGAGTCAGCAGACGGCGCGACAACAGATGCCTGTGGAGATGGCCTCATACGCCGCCGCATACAAAGAGTGAGTGTCCCGCGATAGGGTAGGAATCAGCTCTCTCGACATCAATCAGCGGCAGGTGGGACAAATTGCACCAGTTTTTGCCCAGCTGGCAGGCGTTTCATCAAGGTGGCCAGATAGCGAACGAGCGGGCGCAGGGTGGTCCCTTGTACCGCTTGTCACGTCCCACTTGTTTTTGCCCAGCCTTTTCCACTACTTCTAATTGATCTGCCGCATTTTGCACGGCTACCCGAGCAGAAAACTTTGACCCACCTGGCCCAGCCCACCTCAAAAAAACCGCTCTCGAGTGGTTCGGTTGTGCACCAGACTGGACAGGTCTAATGTCTATATCAGTCGAGTCGCAAAAATGCCACCTTGTAATGCGCTCACATACATCATGTGCGCGATTTCCTCGGATTACGTCAGTACCGCGGCGGCGGTTCCCAAGGTAGGCCGGCTTCACTGCGAGGAAGTCAGGCCGGGTCTCACCCGTCCGGGACATTCCGCCCCGGCTCCGGTGTCAACCGCAGCAGCGACGGTCGCTGAGACAGCCTCAGCTCCGCCTGGGACGCCCCACACAGCACCTGGTACACTTTCAGGCGCTGCAAAGGACGCGCTGTTACACGTGATCTCACGGCACCGCAAATTCAAGGCTAGTGTCACGACACCGCTCGGGCAGCGGAGCGAGGGACAAATCTGACGCAACCCCAGCGTGTCACCGGGCTCGGGTGTGAAGACGGCCCGCTTGACGAGCGGGCACGATAAGCAGGCTACCGACCCAACACCGTCAAACAGCGCCGCATTCGCGGTTGGCAATCGGGTGCAGAGCCCAAATGGGGAGAGCTGCATCGCAGTACCGGCAAAGGCGTCGCCTCCTGCCGACGGAATGCGCCCGCGTCCGTCCTCAGCGGCTCCGCATTCATCTGCGTGTCGCGGGGCGGGGGTGAGACGCCTAAGGCCTGCTCCTTTAGAGGATGTCCCTGGTAGCCTGCCCACCGCCAGGCGTCCCCGCCTCGGCGCCTCCAGACCTGCTCGACCAGACCACCCCTCGACCTCGACCTGCCGCCACCAGACTTGCTTCAGATGTCATCTCTGCGTGCGTGCGTCCCGCTCTCGGCCTCCTCGGCGGGCGCACGACAGGCGCTCTATCTACCGCAAGAATGCTGTCCAGGGCGTCTCAGTCACGCCAGGACCACATTAGCATTCCGGCCGCCGGGCCCGCGGACACCTGTGTCGTCGCGCCGGGCGGGGGCGGCCACAGCACCGCGCAGTCGCAGGCCCTGACTCGGCGCGGGGGCGGAGCTCTCCACTGGGGGTCGGGTCATGGTATGCTGGGGGTCGCAACATGGTGTCAGACTGAAACACGACCTCGGGTCGTGTCAGGGTGTTAGGTTATGGTGGGTCGTTGAGTCGCAGGATGGGGTCAAATGAGACAAGGACGTCGGACCCTGGCAGGTGTTGTGGAGGGCTGTCAGGTAATGATTGAGTGTCATGTTCTGGCACAACGTCACGGGCGCTGGCATCATGTCTCGGTACCAAATCAACGGTAGGATGGAAAGCAACGACAGGGTATTTGGCTACGATAAGACGTCCGATTTCATCGAGGTGTTGAGCTCTAGCCCGATTTCAGGCTGCAAGATGTCAGCCACTGGCTGGATATCGGGTCACGGTGCACTGTCAGCCACGGCGATGCTTCAGGTCATTGACGTGAGATGAGGTACCACCGCAGACCACATTTCACCCCATATCACCACACGTGACACAGGTCACGTGACACAGGTCACGTGGGTCAACATGTCACGAAAGGTAACTGGCTATGGTGCAGCACAGATCAACACGGGCAACAGCTCACACAGGTTGTCATGCCCATCCCGGGCGCAAGTCGGTCCATGTCCCATGGGGTGGCTTGGGGACTGACCTGGCACAGACCACCAGCAACACGGCAGCACACGCCACTTCACTGCATCGTGATGCTGCGCCGCTGTGACAGGCCACGTCGGACGAAAGTGTCGAATCACGACCTTTTGACGTTGATTCTTGAGGCCATTCCCAAGCCTCGCAGATGGCAATTCGAGAAATCCTGATAACGTACACGTACATGCACACAGACACACACACAAACACACAGACACACACACACACACACACACACACCACACACACACACACACACACACACCACACACACACACACACACACACACACCACACACACCACACACACACACACACACACACACACACACACACACACACACACACACACACACACACACACACACACATATATATATATATATATATATATATATATATATATATATATATATATATATATATATGTGTGTGTGTGTGTGTGTGTGTGTGTGTGTGTGTGTGTGTGTGTGTGTGTGTGGTGTGTGTGTGTGTGTGTGTGTGTGGCCATACCTACAGCAGTGGTCAAACAAACAATAGCAGCAGCCGCTTCGATGCTGTGCATCGTTAGATTGTTCGTTTGCACGGTTCGTGTGCGGTAATTGTCACTCAGATCCCGTTGGGGGCAGCTGAGGTGCTAATTGGAGGACGGGGATAGCCAGCGCTGGCTGCAACAATCACTGCAATCTATGATACGCATTGCAGGTGCAGGTGGTGGTGGATAGGTGGGGAGATGTATACATATGTGGCGCGTGAACAAACCAAAATGAACGCTCAGAGGACGTTCGGTAGTGAAGGTAGTCAAAATAGTGAGATACAAACGCATAGATGGCTGCGGGGCGAGGTCGTCAGTGATTCTATCCTTTCCCCTCCAAAAACTCTTACCTGCGTGCACCTTTGATCTCTCATGGGTTACGGCCGAAGCATCCAATGACTGCAGTACAGCGAGCTACAAAAGCAGGATAAAAAAGGTGTTGAACGTTAATATTCGGAGCTTTGCTTATTCACCCACTGCGCTCCTTGGACGGGCGTATGAGCTCTAATTCTGGCTCGCTCGCCGGTGTTGTTTTAAACCGTAAAAGGCTGGTTATTTATAGACACGTATCGCCAGCCAGGCTATATCGCCCTATCTACTACACAATCTCGCGTCCAGGCAGCGCGTAGGCGAATATCTTACGAACGACTTTCGAATTCCATAATCTGCACCAGATATGCCGGGCCGCCGAAATAATTGAAATCATTATCGCGAAACGCGTCCCACGCGCGAACCAAACTTGGAGCTGGATGACATATTGCGTGCCGTTTACGACGTGCGTGACACGATGGCTGAGATAAGATGTCAACCCAGATTAGCTGACACCTGGATCGGTGCACTTTATTACTGCACATCTTGCGCAACGATGCATACTCGGCGGCATGGCGCCAGCACGCATACAAAGGCGTGAATGTTGGAAGGAAACGGCCGAGCGATACCCGCCCTTCGCTGATGCTATCCGACAGGCATGCGACGTGCCATGCCAAACGACTCGGAGCAAGGGAGGCGGCGCCACGAGCGACAAATTCAGGTCAACACGGTAACACCCGTCTTCAGGGACCCGCTGGCCTTCCTCGGCCGCCGCGATGTGGAAGGGAAGTTTGCGATGTCCTTGCACGGCCTCTCCTGCTGGGTACGCGGATGGCAAGTTGTTCCTGCCATATGGAGCGCTGCGGTGCGCGTTTTTGTTCGTGGAAACAATGACCGAATTCTGCCAGGCGAGAGGGCAGCCTGATCAGCTGCTGCGTTCAGGGACACTCGACCGATGACACAATGACTGATAACCCCCCAGCAACGTCCCTGGCTTCGTGCCTGGCATTCCACACGCTCTTCAGGTTCATGCAGAGGCCTGGGATATTCACGGCCTGCGCCCAGCCGATGTTCTCTCCACCACACGCCAGTTATTCTGTAGCCCGGTGCAGCAGACCGTTCTTGGTTGTCGCCCGGCTTCAATATGAGCAGCACTGCTGCGGCGTTCCAGCCATTCGTTGACAGCGGGAAAGCCTGAGACACGAGCCCGCAGCTGCATTTCAGTTCGATGTGGTTGAGAAACGAGAAAGGAAAGCGAATTAAAGGGCGAGAAGCGGCAAGAAGGCTCCCTCTGTCGTGCGTTTTCTTTCTCTTGTCTTTTCTTTCCGTTCTCCAAAAGTTTCTTCGCCTCAAAGTTTCCAAGCTCCTCTTCCTTTCCAAAAAGAAGGACGCGCGCGGCTGCTGCCTGGCGTGCGGATGCAAACACTGCCTGCTGTGGAACGTTTATTGTGGGAAGTCTGGGAAGTTAACAGAGCCGCGATAGCGCGGCTCTCTTCAGTATTCACATGCTGTTTTGTTCTCCTGCAATCCCTGCCTCGAACCTAGCGAAAGTCAGTTCCTCAGTCAGCTCCCGTCTCTGTCCCATCTTTTTTCCCTGTTCTTTTCCTGTGCCTCTCCGCCCACTCTGTCGTGCCCCCCTGTTCCGTAGTCTTCTCTTTTCGTTCTCTAGACGTCTCTCCGTTTCCAAGCTGTACCTGAGGCCCTTCGCCACTGACATCTCTCCGTCCCCCAGGCGTATATCTCCGTTCCTCAGCCATGCTTTTCCGTTCACCAGTCGTGTATTTACATTCACTAGTCTCGTCTCCCGTTTCAGCGGTAGTTCCGGCTCCGTCCCGCCGGCCGAGTACGTGTCGCCCGTGTGAGGGCGTGACCTCCGGCCCGGCCGGCCGACCTCTGACCTGACTTCCGGTCGGGCACTCCTGCCCACTGAGGTGAGCGGCCGTCTCTCTCCCGGGGACCGCCGGCCGGCCGACCGACACCGCCCGACAGAGCTGGCCGGGTGGTTTGTCAGCTTAACACCCTTCCACGGCACGATGCTGCAGGAAATTAATCCTGCCAATTACTTGGCAAGATCGGCGCGCGATAGCGCCACCACTGTCACCTCGATGTAAGGCCGTACATCACTATCAGAGGCTTAACGACACCAACTTTGTCCAGTGTCACGGGACGCCTGTCCAAAACGACTGGCCTCCGCGTATGATACTTTTTAAGGCCGAGTCAGCATCAGGCTGCGCACTACAAATGACGTCTCCCCGTTTTGTCGACGCTGCCCGCCCGATGCGGTGCTGATACGCCGTCCCATTGTTTGGTCTACTTGTGCAGCAATCGGTGGGCGCAACGCTTATTCTCGACCAGAAATGCTCAACTCAGGTCCTGAGCTCGCGATTAGCATGGCGTGCTGCTCACCATTAACTCCATGATGGGCCTATGCGATCAACAGGAAGGCACATTGCGCAGTGTTTTTACGAGTGTTTCCTGCTTTGGCAGGCATGTTTGCAGATCAGGGTTCGTTTTCTTATCGCTAGATGCGCGGTGGACGAGGAGTCAGCTATCGCCGGTCATGCGGTGCCAAAGTCATGTGACACACAACAAACTCACCGAGAGATGCCCGACGGCGAGATGCCCGACGGAGAGATGCCCGACGGCGAGATGCCCGACGGAAAATGCCCGACTTTTTGCGGAGCTGCTTTCAACGCCACTAACAAAGGACACCCCTGTTGCAGAATGATCGCCGTCTGCCATAGTGCAATACGTCCCCTGCTGGTGACGACAACATTATTATCTGCAAGGGGGCCTGACCGGTGCAATGACCTTGAGCAAGGTCCTGCTTCGGCCGCCACCGCCGCTGATTGGAGCAGCGGCGTCCAATCGGAGGAGCGGCGTTGTGCCGGGTGTTACCTGCAGCTGGAGAGCGCCGCGCTGCAGTGAAGACGACCCCGTGACCTGCTACGTGAAAGCTGTGATATCATACGTATTTGATGGACCGGTTAGTCCTATAGTGCATACGTAAATGTCGTGTAAAATAGAGGAGTAGACAGACGTGCTGACGCCGAATGTGTTGGCTCGGTACACGGTGATGTGTTTGCGTGCGTATTTGCCGTTTTCTCATCGTGTTAAGTTGATTGTGCCAAGGCAATACCGTGGCGTTACACTGTTGTTGACTAGCTTGTCTTCGTTTGCTCTGCTGTTCCCTCCCGCCCGCCCTTAGCACCCCAAGCTATGGTTGTGGTCGGTGGAACTCTGTTCATAATTGGTGCCATCATTCGGGTTTCTTCGCCATGCCTGTGAAGCTCGCTGTGACATACGCTACCCTTGAGTCGCATTCTTGACCCATGCAATGTTAAGCCAGGGGCGTGCGAGTTAGTGCGTCTATTTGAACATGATGATGTGCTCGCTTTGTCCCCGCAGTTGTGGAAGCCATCAATCTCAACCGCTCTTTCGCCATTGCGATACGAATCCCACTGTGGCCATGATTTTAAGTACTTGACGACCTGTCTTCCTCGTCGAGCGCGCCCAGCACTGTCTCCGTCGCTGTTCATACTGAACCGCGTCCCCCCCCCCCTCCCCCCAACGACAAGCCACGGCTGACCTTGACCCTTGACCGTCGTGACCTGCGTGCGTCGATCGTCGGTGTCAACGCCAGGTCGAGGGTTCAGCCACGCTCGCGTTTCAGTCACACAAAGGCACTCAGTGCCGGTCGTTGTGCATGGCTTTCACAGGGTTGCTTCAGCGCCACCTCGCACACGTCGTTACGCGTCGTTGCCCACCCAGACAAGTGTGACAGACATCTTCCGCCACACAATGACAATTATATCTCACGCCAAGCTATCCTGCAGACTGGATCAGTCGCCCTTCGACAGCCTGCTACCACAGCCGCCTGACATTGACCTGACCTGTGGGGCCTGTGTATCCTGGTTGAAGATACAAGCCGCGCAACTAACGTGTTCCTGCCGAGTCCTCGTTACACATCCCGGTTCGGTACGTTTCTGTGAATGCTTGTTCCCATCCTAAGCTTGAGCGGCCGGTCTGCCCAGTCATAATGCTGCCATTGTTCAATGTACATACGTGTCGAATGGAAAAATATAACCTGGAATGGATCTTGTGTGTGCATATGGTGAAGGGCGTGAAATGCTGCTGTCTGTATTGGAAAATGCGGCGTCCGCACGTGCTATGGAACACGATGAACTCTGAATATAAAGTGATGATTGAAACATATCAGCTCGATAAGGACTTTTTACGTATATGGTGTGACGGTGCAGCTCTAAAAACCCCGTGGACCAATACAATTATTCCGGTTTCGAGCGCCTTCACACAATTATGCACCGTTTTTATCATTGCCATTGTTCTCTACGCCCTAAAACGCCTGCAAGCAAATGTGGCAACCACATCACAGCGGCAGCCCACGCACACAGCGTGATCTCGGAGGTAAACAAAACGTCAATAAATGCTCGGGCCTTTTCTGAATAGAGATGTTTTTCTGTCAGTCACCGCGTCCCCGGCTGGAATGGCGCCGTCACAGCCCCGCTCCCCGGAGCTTTTTCAATTGGTCTGGGCTGAGCATCACTGGCCTGCTTTCAGCCGGGGAGCGCCGCGTCCCCGCCCGCCCGTTCCCCTCATCCAAAGCCCGCCGTCCCCTCCGCGGCCGAGCACGAACACGGAAAGGTGAGACGACCAAATGGAGCCGCGCGGAATAACAATGCGCCTAATGGAGATGAGTTGGCTTTGATTTAAGATCGGTCACCTCCCCTCGGCCGATGCCCTCAGGGGATCCGCCGCGAGCCAGATGGGCGCAGATCGACTTCGGTGGGGGAGCTTGCCGAGGGGGGGGCGGCTGGTCCCCTGACTCAGCTGCCAGCGAGTAGGGGGTATACCGTCGGACAGTGACGCTGGCCGACCACCGGGTGGTAATTAATTTATTCGGTTTGATGGCCGTTGACGTGGCGCCAGATGAGAGACCGATGGGCGTGCCGCGCGCTGCGGCCGAGGTATCCGGTGCTGTTTGGCCGGCTCCGAGGGTGAGCTGGCAGCGCGACCCGGCAGTAAGGTCAGTGCTCTCCACTTTTTAACGCTTTAAAAATGTTCTCCGAGCAGTTCACACGGGCAGCTTCCGAACATATCCTTGCCTAGAGGTGGTTGTGAGCTCCCTGAGCCTCACGAGAGGGACACGTCTGCGGAGCATCAGTGGAGGTTGCGGTTCTCGACGCCCATCTGCTTCCTCCTTCGCCCTTTTCTCCGTGAAGGGCTTAGCGTCGGACGTCGAAAGCAGACCGTCGTTCTTGCACGTTGCCAGGAAGCACACATGCACAGGTCGAGTCAAGCGATCGTACCATTCGGTGACCCGCCCTCAAACCTTCCGTAACTCGCGTCTCGGACCTGCGTCCCGCGTCGGCCACCTCAGTGCGAAGTCAGCAGCAGCATGCAGCGTGCAGCGTGCAGCATCCCGCGAGACACATGCGGGCGGTCCGGCACATCACGGAGATCATTTGGCAACCATTGAGAGCTTTACGAATGGATGTAGGCTCTGGACAGTCCATTCAGACCGCACAATCCTTTTTGCGAACGAAGAGCGGTTTTCTCTCGTTTCGTTCCCTTTGTTTTGCTCCGAGCTGCGCGAGCCGAGCGAGCCAACTGGAGGGTCATTTATCTGGGGGCGGACAATCCGTATTTGGCTCAGCCTCGCGGATGGACGTTGAGGGAGCTCCCAGCCTGGCGAAATTTGGTGCGGTCGCTTAAACAGACGTGACTGGCAAAAATCTCCAGGGATGTGTTGCGCCGTTCGGCAAAAACAGAAATGAAACAAAGGTAGAGGAATTGAGTTCTGTTCGCCGCGTTAAAAACGTTTAATTTTATTCTCCTTGCATTGGCGAGGCAGAAGACAGTATAGCAGCACGTTAAATTCTGTTGACGGTTTTGTGTGTCCGTGCAGAAGAGCTTGCAAGTCTTGACGTCCACAAGAACTGCAAGGTGCATGCATGTTATTTGCCCGCAGCAAGAAACGGAGCAAATATGAAGCTAACAAGCAACAGTTCTTTAGGCCATGTTGTTTTAATCGCCCCGCAAACCGTGAAAATTGGGTGTTAGTTGGGTGCGTCAATTTTCCAACGCCTCGGCGATAGTGGGAGGGCAAATAAAACTTTGCATAACAAATGCGGATGGGTGCTAAAACAGTTGTAAAATGGACACGGTTGAAGCCCATGTGCAGATGATAACAGTGCGGTCGATGAGATCATTCTCGCGCGAGCAATACCACCAGGCCCGGGTCGCGTCTGTTGATGGGCTAGCCATTGTGCCACAATGGGCGTGGAGCCGTGGTAACGCATACATCAGCATTGATTCACCACCAGCGCTGGTGATGAGTATAATGCGATGCTGGTGATTTCCACTTTAATGCAGTGTTGATAGTTGCCATCAGTTTTGTACCATGTATCGCGATCCTGGTATTTGGACGTGATAAACGGGATGTAAACAGCTAGACCCCGTCGGTATGATTGCAAGATTAAGCCATGACGCTTTATTGGCTCATAAACGATGGGTATTTGAGTGATATCAATCCATACATCCAGGAGCGGCGCAAAAGGGGAGAAAGGTGCAGTTGCACTCCTAGGGTGCAGGGTGCAGTTGGCAGTCAGGGGGAGCAAGGCGCATGTTTTTGCCCCCGGAAAGCACTGGGCTCAACCTTTGAATTTTTGGGAAATCTCTTCCAGGGAATTTTTGGGATACTCCTTTTGTACACTCACACTTGAGTGCCTCCTAGCTACAATATCTTGCCAAATTCAGGTCAACCAGGAGCCATTGCTGAGCTAGGTGGTTCGAAACAGTGAGATAGAATCGCTTTTGAACCAGGGTGGGAGTGAAAAATTACATCACAAAAAGACCGTGCAGGAATGGAAAAGTTAATTCAAAAAGTTGGA